ACACAATCATTTCTATTTAATTCAGATTCTCTAACGTATTTGATATTTAATGTTGTATTTAGATTCTTTTACGTCATCAGATTCGTATCTTCAACTTTTTCCGATCTTTGATCTTTAAATGACTCGAATAGGTACGAGACTCGTACCTACTTTAGTAACGGTCCACACCTATGTTGCTTTCTTTTCCCCATATCTGTTGTCGCCCGTGCCTCTTGGCTATTTATTACGTTTTGACCTTTTGACCAGTCCACGTGTCATGACACGTTATCTTCAATATTCAGACACAATTTTTTTCCCAGTACAGTTACTGTAGAGCACATTTGCAGTTCTTCATGAAATTAGGTGTGAGGAGTTGTTTAATGAGGAGCTAGAAAAGGTGAAGTTCTAATTATGCAAGAGTTGGAGAGTTGGTCTCTCCTGTGAAACTCAAGAAGAAGAGGGAGCTACTATGGATAATAGGTAGCTCATATTTGATAGGTAAGAGATAAACTTCTCACTTCCTAGGTAACTATTAGAAGTTTTGTAGGTGCTTTAAATTTTAATGGATGGTCATGTATTTCGTTGATTGGGGTATCAAAATTTTAGTTTATGAGACAAGCTGATGGATACTTATTGGTTTCACATGTATTGGAATATCAACCTCATAGCTTATAGAAGAGTATGTCAGACAAATGAATGGTTCACATTTCTGACCTTCGGGATAGAACACAAATTGAAGTGAGATATGTTTAAGTGGTACTTTTTATGTTTTATCATTTAGTGTCTTAAATATAATGAAATTGATCCAAGAAGAAAGTTCTTGACCTAAATGTCGACATAGGCCAAAGGAGGTAGTGACAAGATGCAATGTAATGCAAACGTCCCTTATGCGAAATTGCCAATTATCTGGGGTTCAGGGACCTAACAGGCAGTGAGGAGTATGCAATTTATGTGTTGTATTTTTGCCTTCTGAATTCTTTTTTCGCTGTAATATTAGAGCTACTTGCAAAATTTTATGTGTGCGGCTGAAGGAGGTGCTGATATTGATGCATATACTGAGGAAAAGTACGTGCACTGGTATAAATTGGTACTGTCGTATTATACGGTGAGGGAACTTGGTTTCCTTGCTTGTCGCTCTCTATTTCCATGATATAAAACTATAAATCAAATATTTTGGTTTTTTCTTGATGATATGTAATTTCTGAAATTATGTTGTTTTATTATATGTTAGTGCCGGATATGAATCCGTTCAAAGGTTTATGCAACACCGATGTCATTAAGATGCATGATCTGGTTGATTGGGAATTGTGGATGACTCATATTAAGAGGCAAGAAATGAACTTTTCGTTTCCTCAGTAAACTGTTAGAAGTTTTTTTTCTGTTACTTTATTTTTCATATATTTGGTCATGATATTTTATTAACTGTGTTTTAGTGAATATTGTATATAAATATAAAAGAAGTGGATGGTACCTATTCGTTTCGGGCACATTGTTATATTACTCATGAAGAATTGGCTGCAAGAAAAAATAATATAACTTAAGAGATCTTTGCCAGACAGTTATCTTTTCTTCATGTTTAAGTAATAATATTTTCTTCTCTTTGTTTCTCTACCGTTCTGAAAAGATCAATGTGCACAACATAGAAGATATGATCCTCATATTTTTTCATGACTTAATTTGTATTAACATGTTTTGGTTTGTGTAAAGAGTAATTCTAAGATTGNTTTTTTTCATGACTTAATTTGTATTAACGTATTTTGGTTTGTGTAAAGAGTAATTCTAAGATTGAGAGATAAAGTCTCTCTCACCCCACAACCATTTACTTTTCAAAAGGAAAAAAAGACTTCTATTCTGGTTATATCTGAGCACATATTTTTCAGGTGTTTAATTTAGTTAAGAATGCCATGTATAACAAGTCGAGCAAATGCAGATGGAAGTCGACTTTGAAAACAACTACTTAATTTCCACATTTCATAAAAAATATATAGGTAGAGTGCTTATAGCCTTATGGTGGACTAGAACTACAGAAATTTGGGTTTGATGTATTTTCAGGAACAACAAATGGTAATGTATGTGCATAGAAAATCAAATATGTACAAAGAGTTGAACTGTTAGATACTGATAGCTGCCTCTTTTGGTGGTAAGTTCGTGGCCTCCCAACTGGTTTGACGGATTTAATGGAAGCAATTGGTTCGAGGACTGAATTTCTTGGAAGTTGCCATCATATTCAATATTTGAGACATTCTCACACATCATTATTTATTGCTTCTACAGGTGTCTACACTGCCGTTATCATCGAAGACTGCAAAGAAAACTGATCATAGCATTATGAATGCATCACATGTTGTCTCTATGTAAATAATATTCTCATTGATGTAAAGAATTTGTCATCTTCAACCATGCAACATCCAAGAATGGATATTTTGTTTCTATATGGATGTAAATAGTTGTGACGATCAGGCCAGCCGTCTCATGAGTTACCGCTCTGTTTTTTCCATTTCTGCTTCTTATTGTTTTGTTTATCAATTCTATATGTAATCGGGTTGGTTGGCTCGAGTTCAGAAAGGATTTGGTAAAGTTTGAGACACTTAGTCTCTTTTGAGGAAGCTTAAGTTAGAAAAGTCAATCGGATGTTGACTTACGTGTTAGAGGGCTCGGATGTGAGTTCTGATGGTTCGGATAGCTTCGGGAGGTGATTTGGAACTTAGGAACGTGATCGAAGTGTGTTTTGGAGGTCCGAAGTAGATTTAGGCTTGAATTGACGAAATTGGATTTTTGGCGTTTTCCAGTTGATAGGTGAGATTTTGATATAAGGGTCGGAATGGAATTTCGGGAGTTGCAGTAGTTCCGTTGTGTCATTTGGGATGTGTGTGAAAAATTTCAGGTCATTCAGACGTGGTTTGATATA